ACAAGACCCATCACATTACAGAGTGAAACTGCACCTTGTGCGTGGTTTTGGGGTTCAATTCTGGGATATTTGGTAAAGCTCATTCCATACCTTCTGTTGGCAGCAGATTCCTCCTAATGAAATCAAACACAGACAGATGTCAGCTCACACTGAGACACCAACAACAACAGCAGATTACATGTGTACAGCGTCTCCCACATCCCAATTCAATCTCTGATCTCTTTGTCAATCACAATTAGTTTGTCGGCTCCCGACTGTGTGTAACTGTGACCGAACTGCAATATAATGTCAACCCTTTACCTGCAGGAAGGTGAGAGCGTCTTTTCCCATCTGTTTCTGTAACTCGGAGAGTTCTTGCTCCACAGACTCTAACTTTCCCTGAATCTCTCGCAGAGTTGTCTCCATTCGCTTTAGAATCTCCTTCTCTCGCTGTCTGAGATCCCCCATCACTCGCTGCTCTCTGTCAGTCAGACTCTTGTGCATTTTAGCAAACTTAGCCGTGACGTGAGTCTGTACACTCTTCACCTGTTCCTGAAAATGTCAGGACATCCAACCGTTACACACAGTAACCAGAGACCTGAGACATCCCACCGTGTACACACAGTAACCAGAGACCTGAGACATCCCACCGTGTACACACAGTAACCAGAGACACTGAGACATCCAAGGTGTACACACTAACCAGAGACCTGAGACATCACACCGTGTACAGACAGTAACCAGAGACACTGAGATATCCCACCGTGTACACACAGTAACCAGAGACCTGAGCATTCACACCGTGTACACACAGTAACCAGAGACCTGAGACATCCTACCGTGTACACACAGTAACCAGAGACCTGAGACATCCACCGTGTACACACAGTAACCAGAGACCTGAGACATCACACCGTGTACACACAGTAACCAGAGACACACTGACAGACATCAGCCCCGACACAACTTACCTTAACTTGTGAAATCTTTTCTCTCTGTTTGGCTTCAGTTTGTAGAGCAGTTTCCTTCCTCTGTGTGAGAGAAGCTATGGAGGACTTCACTTGATCCTGGAATAAACGCACAGAATAACAGTGTTTGAGGGGAAAACCTGACGTGGAAACGGAATGAATCCCTCGTGAGGGTCTCGGTACCTTGTAGATTTCAGCCGCTTCGTCAATGGGCAGAAAGCTGTGACCTCTGTGCTCTTTCGCATCTCTGCAAACAACACACAGCAATTTCTTGTCATCTTCACAGAACAGCTTCAGGTCCTCCCGGTGTTTCTCACACTGACGTTTAACTGCCGTCTGTGTCGGGTCCAGACTGAATTCACGAGCTTTCTCCACCATTTTGGCCAGAGCCCAATTGACCTGGAGGTTCCTCTCCGCAGTAACTTGGTGACATACCGGACAGGAGTTTTTCTCCTGCTTTTCCCAGCTCCCGGCGACACAGGAGTGACAGAAGTTGTGGCCGCAGTCCAGACTAACAGGATCAGTGAAGAACTCCAGACAAATGGCACAGTTTAGCTCCTCGGTCAAGCTCTCAGCCTGGAGTCTGGAAGCCATTTTGATACTCAGCAACTGCTGCTTGAAACTGGTTTTGGTTTCAGTGCGAGTGTGTGGGCGGCTCCCAGTCACTGGGCGGATAAACCCTCCTCAAGTCTCTTCCTGTGAAACCCGCTGATTGTGTCTGTGGTCCCCACAGAGCAAATCTACATCCTCAACCGTCCGCTTGTCAGTGAAACCAACGGCCGCAGTTTGAGCTGTTGCCGTGTGTCGATGGTATATTTGAGATGGGTTTGATTTCCATGTTGTTTTTGCCCTTTGCTCTCGTGCTGTGACTGTCAGCAGCCGAGAGGAACAGAGAGTGTGAGTTCAGCTCTGCCCATCCCCTGTGGTTAGTCACCCCAGCGCCTGGTTTCCTGTCTTTCTGTACAGGCAGCGATTCAAGATGCAGAACGAGAAGCCTTTCCTTTAGTTGTTGACTGGAAACCACAATCGCATAGATACACGCAGGTTAACCATGGCATTGCTTCTCCTGCCCTCTGTACCCACAGATGGAAATAGATACAAACACAGAGACACAGAGATAGAGTCACAGACAGCGAGAGGGAGAGCGATAGAGAGAGGTGTTCAGGAAACTCTCTGGACTGGTGACTTTTGAGAAACAGGATGACTGCAAAGTTAAAGTGATGTGAGCGATTCACCAGTGTGTGGCACAGAATGGAGACAGCGAAGGAATTTGAGAGCCTCTCTTCACTTGGGTTATGTGATAACAAACAGGACAGTGTATGTCAGTGGCACAGTATCTGTGTGTAAGACACGGGCTGTTAATTCAGCTCTACCTCAGTTTGTCTGAACTGAATGAACGTGAGGTTTGAGGGCTGTTTTGCTGCTGTATCATTTGTGATTCGCTGCCCAGTGACTTGGCCTCTGTGGAAAGGAAGTCTTGTCATTTGCGATTCGTATGGAAACCCATCACTGCCGCTTAAGATCCAAACCAAACTCAGAATTCCACGCCTCCCTCCAACACATGGAATTGCCTGTCATCTCCCGCCGGAAGCTCACAAACTGCTCACTTAGTTCTGAAGAGTATTAGGCGCAGGTTGGCAAGACCCAAGGCTCGGGGAAGCCCAGAGCGTGTGTTGGGGCAACTGCTGGAGTCCATCCAGATGAACCCACACAGCTTCCAATTGCTGTCGCTGTCTGGCGAAGCTTTCCCACTGCTTGTCCAGGGAGGACCACCCTCCCCGTTAGATGGGGCTTTGGCTGCAGGGTTCACAGGAGCTGAGGGGAAGGATTCCCTGTCCCCAGTGACTCGTCTGTTCAGTCGGTCACTGGTTAATGAGCCTCATTGAGGCCCCGAGAGGAAATGTTGTGTTTGAGGAATCGCTGCTCTTTCTGTGTTCATAAAGATATAAACCGCAGGTCTGGGCTGTGTGAGAAACCCCTAATTATGGTGACACAAGTGAACTCAATACCACATGGTTTTACAGCTCAAACTAAAAGGATTGACACCAAATCTACATTCCCAAACGTCCGATTGTCAGTGAAACAAACGGCCGCAGTTTGAGCTGTTGCCGTGTGTCGTTGGTATATTTGAGCTGTGTTTGATTTCCATGTTGTTTTTGCCCTTTGCTCTCGTGCTGTGACTGTCAGCAGCCGAGAGGGACACGAGGCTGTGAGTTCAGCTGCTGCACATCCCCTGTGGTTAGTGAGCCCCAGCGTCTGGTTTCCTGTCTTTCTGTACAAACAGCAACTCAGCTGCAGATCAAGAAGTCGGGGCTTTAGTTGTTGACTCAAAACACTCTGACTTCTCACTGAGGCCAACGATAGAGCGGTGGTCACACTGTGAGCTCTGCCTGTCCCGGGCTGTGTGTGTGTGTGTGTAGAGGGCGGTGGTCACACTGTGAGCTCTGCCTGTCCCGTGCTGTGTGTGTGTGTGTGTGTGAAGAGGGCGGTGGTCACACTGTGAGCTTTGCCTGTCCCGGGCAGTGTGTGTGTGTGTGTAGAGGGCGGTGGTCACACTGTGAGCTCTGCCTGTCCCGTGCTGTGTGTGTGTGTGTGTGTGTAGAGGGGCGGTGGTCACACTGTGAGCTCTGCCTGTCCCGTGCTGTGTGTGTGTGTGTGTGTGTAGAGGGCGGTGGTCACACTGTGAGCTCTGCCTGTCCCGGGCTGTGTGTGTGTGTGTGTGTAGAGGGCGGGGTTCACACTGTGAGCTCTGCCTGTCCCGGGCTGTGTGTGTGTGTGTGTGTAGAGGGCAATGGCCGCACTGAGAGCTCTGCGGCTCCTTCTACGTCTTTACCAAGATGGCCGTCGCAGCGTGACTTCCCCCACCGCCCCCTTTACAAAGATGGCCGCCAATTCCCTTCAGAAATGCACAGAGACACTCCTTTACTGTCTCTCTCAAACTCACTCACTCTGTCTGTCTGCAAGGGAAAGAGAGAGAGTGTGAGAGATAGAGAGAGTGTGAAAGAGAGTGTGGTAGAGAAAGAGAGTGTGTGTGAGAGAGAGAGTGAGAGAGAAAGAGAGTGAAAGTGTGTGTGAGACAGAGAGAGAGAGACATAACGACATGACTCTGACCCCCAATGTGAGGAGACCATAGACTTCCTCGTGGCATAAACAACACAATACACGTGGCTCGTACCCCACCTCAGCCCCCACCTGCTCCCTCACCTCTCAACCACCCATCTGCTGAAGCCGATTGGCCTTCTTCTGGCCACGACCACAGACACAGTCAACCTGTCCCTCAACACCATCCACAGGCACAGACAACGAGTCCCTCAACACCATCCAAAGGCACAGTCAATCTGTCCCTCAACACCATCCACAGACAGGCAACCAGTCCCTCAACACTGTCCACAGACACAGTCAACATGTCCCTCAACACCATCCACAGACACAGTCAACCTGTCCCTCAACACCATCCTCAGACACAGTCAACCTGTCCCTCAACACCATCCACAGACACAGGTTCATCTCCACGTGTCTGTGGAGACCCCACATCTACTTTCCCATTTCCACTGGTGACTCCATGGCCCCTGAGGTTCTGTCCAGTGGCCCTGTGGCACATTCCGGTCCGGATGAGCCTCTATTCCCTCCAACTCATGGAGATGAGACTGAAGCCATGTGAATGTAGACGGTCCCCTTTCCTCCACCTCCCAGCCCCGCCCCCACACCCCGCCCCGCCCCAGCCCCCAAACCCGCCCCCAGCCCCGCCCCAGCCCCGCCCAGCCCCGCCCCCGGTTCCGCCCTGCCCCGCCCCCCAGCAGGTTTATGGTTAGGGTTAGGGTGAGGGTTATGTTTAGGGTCAGGGTTAGGTTTAGGGTTTGGATTAGGGTTAGGGTTAGTGTTTGGGTTTGGGTTTCGGTCTGGGTTAGGGTTAGGGTTAGGGTTAGTGGGTTAGGGTTAGGGGGTTAGGGTTTAGGTAGTGTTAGGGTTAGGGTTAGGATTTTGGTTAGAGTTCGGGTTAGGGTTCGGTATAGGGGATTAGTGGGTTAGGGTTAGGGGTTTTGGGTTAGTGTTAGGTTTAGGGTTAGGGTTCGGTTTGGGATTGAGTGTTTAGGGTTAGGGTTAGGGGTTCGGGTTAGGGTTAGGGGTTAGTTTTAGTGTTACGTTTAGGGTTTCGGGGTTAGGGTTAGTGGTTAAGGGTTAGGGTTAGTGTTTAGGGTTAGCGTGAGTGTTAGGCTTAGTATTTGGGTTAGAGTTAGGGTTAGGTTTCGGATTAGGGGGTTAGCGGGTTAGGGTTAGGGGGTTTGGGTTAGGGTTAGTTTTAGGGTCAGTGTTAGGGTTACGGGTTAGGGTTCGGGGTGACTATTATGGGTTAGGTTTAGGGGTGAGGTTTAGGGATTAGTGTTAGGGGTGAGGTTTAGGTGTGAGGATTGGGGTTAGTGTTCGGCGTGACGGTTAGGGGTGAGGGTTATTGTTGAGGGTTAGGGATTAGGGTTAGAGTTAGGGATTAGGGGTTACGGTTTGGGTTATGGTTGGGGTTATACTGAAACGGAACACTTAGCGTCCGTGTTAGGGTTAGTGTACGCACTTAGAGTTAGGTTTAGGGTTGGGATTTGCTGTTTAGGGTTAGGGTTATGGGTTCGGGTTAGGTTTAGGGGTTAGAGTTAGGCTTACGGTTAGGGGTTAGGATTAGAGTTAGGGTTTAGGGTTAGTGGTAGGATTAGGGTTAGGATTTTGGTTAGAGTTCGGGTTAGGGTTCGGGTTAGTGTGTAAGTGGGTTTGGATTAGGTTTTTCTTTATGAGTTCGTGTTAGGTTTAGGCTCTGAGTTAGCTGTTTGCGTTAGTGTTAGGGTTGGGGGTGAGTGTTAGTGGTCACGTTTAGGTGTGAGTTTCAGGGGTGAGGCTTAGTTGTGAGGATTAGGTATTAGGATTAGAGTTAGTGATTAGGGGTTAGGGTTAGGGTTGGGGTTATACTGAAATGGAACACTTAGGTTTAGTGTTAGGTTTAGAGTACGCACTTAGGGTTATGGTTAGGATTTAGTGTTAGGGTTAGCGGTAGGGTTACGGTTAGCGTTAGGGTTAGGGGTTAGGTTTAAGGTTTGGGCTTAGGGTTAGGATGTAGGGTAAATTGTTAAGGTTAGGGGTTAGGGTTAGGATTTAGGTTTAGGGTTATTGTTAGGGTTTAGGATTGAGGGGTTAGGGGTTAGTGGTTAGGGTTATTTTTATGGTTATGGTTAGGGTTAGCGTGAGGGTTAGGGTTAGTTGTTAGTGTTAGTGTTGGGGTTATACTGAAGTGGAACATTTAGGGTTAGGGTTAGTGTTAGGGTACACACTTAGGTTTATGTTTAGGTTTAGCTGTTAAGGTTAGGGGTTAGGGTTAGGGTTAAGCGTTAGGGATTAGGGTTACTGTTAGGGGTTAGGGTTAGGATTTAGGTTAGGGTTAGGTGTAGTGTTAGGGTTAGCGTTAGGGTTAGGGTTAGGATTTAGGTTTAGGGTTAGGGGTTCGGGTTAGGGTTAGGGTTAGTGTTACGGTTACGGTTACGGTTAGGGGTTTGGGGTTAGGGTTAGGGGTTAGGGGTTAGGGGTTAGGGTTCCATTTATGGTTTAGCGTTAGTTTTAGGTTTAGGATTTGTGTTAGAGTAAGGATTGGATTTCGGATTTGGGGTTTAGTGAGTTAGGGTTAGGGGGTTTGGGTTAGGATTATTGTTGGGGCTAAGGGTTAGGGGTGACGTTTAGGGGTGAGGGTTAGGGGTGAGATTTAGATTTCAGGGTTAGGGATGAGGTTAGGTTTAGTGATTAGGGGTTAGGGTTAGGGTTGGGGTTATACTGAAATGGAACACTTAGGTTTAGGTTTAGGGTTACGATACGCACTTAGGGTTAGGGTTAGAGTTTAGGGTTAGGGTTACGGGTTAGGGTTAGGGTTAGGTGTTAGGTTGATGGGTTAGGGTTACCTTTAGTGGCGTTACGGTTAGCGTTAGGTTTAGGGGTTAGGGTTAGGGTTTGGGATAGGGTTAGGATTTAGGGTTAGGGGCTAGCTGTTAGGATTAGGGTAGGTT